ACCTACCCACTCGCCCACCACCTGCCTGCTCACCCACCTACCTGTGCACCCACCTACCTGCTCGCCCACCACCTGCCAGATAGCCCACTCACCCATCTGTTCACCCCTGCCTGCTTGCCCGCCCACCTGTTCACTCATCTGCCTGCATATACCTGCCAACCCACCCACCTGCCTGCTCACCCACCCACCCACTTGCCTGCTCGAACCAGTTCACCCACCAAGCCCATCTGCCTGCCATCCGAAACCTACCTGCCTGAACCCACCTATCCCTGCCTCCCCACCCACCCACCTGCCTGCCCACCCACTTTCCCTGCCCACCTACCAGCTAGGCATCTAACCACCCACCCAGCCCCACACACTAATTAGTGTGTGTCAATTCAAATCATGATGGTGGTATAAAAATAATTATACCAGTAATTTAAGAGACAGTAATTTAAACAGGGTGATTGAAGAAATCGAACAGAGACTGAAGCATTGATATCAGACTGAAGAAAGGCAACTGGAACAGAAAGCAATTCAAGAAATAAAGAAAACCCCCCCAAAATTTCTTCACATTTACGAAATCAAAAGCAAAAACCACTGCCAGTATTGGACCTGTTCGTATTAGTGAAGGTTCATACACTGAGGATGACAAAGAAATTAGCGAAATCCTAAAAAAGCAGTATTAGGACATGTTTAGCACTCCGATACACAGCATGAAAATGAAAGATCCGGACAACTTCTTTATGTGTGATATCCAAACCACTGTAAATATAACGGATATCAACATGAGCATAGCAGATTTTGAAAGAGAAATTGACAATATGCCCATGCACTCAGACCCGGGTCCAGACTCATTGAATTCAATATTTATAAAGAAATGCAAAGTACCAGTAGCACAGGCACTCAGTTTAGTGTGGGGGAAGAGCTGGACACGGGGGAGATACCAGATGTGCTTAAAGCGGCAGACATTGCCCCTCTACACAAGGGAGGGAGCAAAGCATTTGCTAAGAATTATAGACCAGTTGCACCAACGTCCCACTTAATAAAAGTATTTGAGAGCGTGATCAGGAGTCAGGTCACTAGTTTCATGGAAACCAGTGACCTCCACAATCCAGGCCAACATAGATTTAGAGTGGGAAGATCATGCCTCTCACAGCTACTTGACCATTATGACAAAATCACTGAGGAATTAGAAGAAAAACAGAATGCAGATGTTGTATACACAGACTTTGCAAAGGCATTCGACAAATGTGACCATGGACAAATGTCCATGGTCACATTTGTCATGGTGGACAAATGTCCATTTGTCATGGTCACTATTTGTCCATGGTGGTCGGTGGCTGAGCAGACAGAACACTGTACGCGTGATCCTGTTGTCCCGGGTTCGATCCCAGGCGCTGATGAGAAACAATGGGCAGAGTTTCTTTCACTCTGAACTCCTGTTACCTAGCAGTAAATAGGCACCTGGGAGTTAGTCAGCTGTCACGGGCTGCTTCCTGGGGCTGAAGGCCTGGTCGAGGACCAGGCCGTGGGGACACTAAGCCCCGAAATCATCTCAAGATAACCTCATCTCAAGAAGGTGGATTGATAGCACACAAAATGAGGTCATTGGGAATAACTGGTAAAGTAGGACACTGGATACTCAATTTTCTGTCGAACAGAACACAAAGAGTAACAGTCACAGCTTCGTGTCATCCTTTGCAGATGACACAAAAATCAGCATGAAAATTACCTCTTCTGAAGACATTGAAAAACTACAAGCAGATATTAACAAAGTTTTCAATTGGGCAGCAGAAAAAAAACATTATGTTTAACAGTGATAAATTCCAGATATAGTGGTACTTCGACTTACAAGCGACCCTGGTTACGAATTTTTTGGGTTACGAGCAGGATTTGCTCAGAAAATTTGTATCGGGATACGAGGGTTGCCATAGGATACGAGGGTGTTAATATGCATACGGGCCGACTAGCATGTGGTGGCATGGCGATTGCTGCTCAGTTTACCAGTGCCTCGTGCCCAGTGACTATCCTGCCTCAATTCTTCACCAGGATTTACAGTGTTTTGTTGGATATTTGGCCATTTGAACATAAAAGTTTTTATTATATATCTTGCAATGGGTCCCATGAAAGCCAGTGGTAAGGTTCAACCTTAGAAAATAGTTGTGAGTAGAGCATGTCCCTTCCTCATTAAGAAAATGTGTGAAGTATGGGAAGAACTGCAAAGTTTTGTTGAAAAAACTAACCCAGATAGAGCTGTAGCAGGCCATTGCATTGACCTTTTAAATGACAATGTGATGTCTAATTACAGACAAGTGTTAAAATGCAGGGAAAACAAGTGTCTTTAGACAGATTCTTAGTAAGACAAGCAAGCAGTGAGCTACAAGCAGGTCCTAGTGGTATGCAGGCAAAACGTGCCAGAGTGTGCACACCAGAGAAGTCCTCACTGCCTGATGTTATAATGGAAGGGGACTCCTCTTCCAAACAGTAACACCTCTCCTCCCCCCCACTCCTCACCATCTTCCATACGCCAACAGCAGTCATCAGCCGATGACTGTCCGACGACCTAATGTTCAGGGAGCATTACCAATCAAATATTGCGTCAGCCAGAAAAATGATAGGATGGATTACGAGAACTTTTAAATCCAGGGATCTCATCACAATGTTTGTACTCTTCAAATCACTTGTGTTGTCCCATCCTGAGTATTGCTCAGTACTCACTTTCTCCTTCAGAGCAGGAGAGATGCTGAAATAGAGGGAATACAGAGAATATATACGGCACACACAGACACGATAAAGCACCTTAATTATTGGGATCGTCTCAAAGCTCGCCAAATATACTCACTAGAAAGGAGACGAGAGATAGATACCAAATAATATACACATGGAAAATACTGGAGGGCCAGGTCCCAAATCTTCACAGTAAAATAACAACATACTGGAGTGAACGGTATGGAAGAAAATGCAGAATAGAACCAGTGAAGAGCAGAGGTGCTATAGGCACAATCAGAGAACACTATAAATATCAGAGGTCCGCGGTTGTTCAACGTCCTACTAGCAACTATAAGAAATATTGCTGGAACAACCGTGGACGTCTTCAAGAGAAAACTAGATTGTTTTCTAAAAAAGTGAAGGACCAACCGGGCTGTGGTAGGTATGTGGGCCTGCGGGCCGCTCCAAGCAACAGCCTGGTGGACCAAACTCTCACAAGTCAAGCTTGTCCTCGGGCTGGGCTTGGGGAGTAGAAGAACTTCCAGAACCCCATCAGATAGCAGCAGCAAGAGATAGCATGGAACAGAGCCGGCCGCCGTTATGGTGAAAACTAGCAGTGCAGTACCTAGCGCCCCTACCAGTGACGAAAACTACCACCTACCCAGAGACAACCAGGGCAACAAACCCCCAGCCGACTCCAAGGGCGGCCCAGTACCGAGCAGTAAAGGACACAGCGGAGGTAGATCCCAAGGTAACTTGTGGAAGAAGGCCTCAAGCCCCAAGGGCAGTGCCTACAGAGCACCTAGGGAAGAGAGTCTTAGGTGCATGCAGCCTGAGTACCGTGGAATCTCACTCCTGGCTCACACACCACCTATAAAGACAGCCCCACACCACAAGGCACAGAACTGAAACAAAACCGGAGCCAGAGGCACTCGACCAGCCAGTAATCACATCAGCCAAGAACTGCCGGTTAGATCGCTGGCACGGAGGGTCTGGGGCGCCCCCTTCCCCCCTCCCGGGGAGGGGGGGTGGTTGCGCAGATAGCGGTGCAGCGACATGATGACGTCATGCTAATTTGATACTTTTGTTTGGGGAGCTCTGTCCACTCATTTGGCTTTCTGTAGCAATATTTTCACCAGAATAGTGGTTTGTTTTAGGGCGCCTACCTTTCTGGGTGCATGTCCCAGTCAATGACAGACATAGAATGCTCCCAACCACAGGGAGGTTTCTATAGGCTATTGCTCCTCATGCTTCTCTGAGGGGGCCAGGTTCTGGCTCGTGGTCCCTGGTAGGCAAGAACTCTATGCACTTTGATGCCAGAAAGTTATACATATCCATTCAGCCTGGATAGCTCCGGAGAGCTGATGGGGCTCCCCCCAGAAATAATAGTGTAATATATATTTACAACATTTCATGGGTATGAATTGATAGCCATTGCCTTTATTAGCATTTGTATTGCATATTTACTTGGGTTCTGCTGAATTTCACTATTTCAACATGCATTGCAGTTGTGGTTGTGTTGGGTTAAAATACAATTTTTTTGCATAACGTTATTACATATACGTGAGAAGGCGCTCATCTGGTCCCCAGCATGGTGGTGAGGGAGCAGTGGCAGTAGGGAGAGGAGTAGGAGGAGAAGGAGGAGGAAGAGGAGGGAGCGAAGGAGGGGAGGCTGTGTAGGTGAGTGATGCTCCCGCTCAGCTGAGAGTGTCTCGCTTCACACCACCTTCCCTCAACACGTATGTCACATTCCATCATCTTCCTCCTCCTCCTCTTAGACATGTAGGGCATTGTGTATGAGAACATTGCCATGACATAATAGCGCTTCGACACACGAGAGTGTTACACCTCTTCTCTGTCTGGAAGCCGAGATGCTACTGACTGTGAGGCCTGGTGGCCTCTCCCAAATACGGGATGCGCGGGTGCCAAATCTCAGAAAAATTATTATTTATATGTATTTCTGCAATAAATCCTATTTTGTGTCAACACTCATGTGTGACAGCTCGCCCACGCCAGTGATGATAGTATGTTGTGCTGTTGGGGGGGGGATGGAATTACCCTTAAGCCTGTGAGGCACGATTTACCATCTCTGAATCCATGCTGTTGGTGTGTTACAATGCTATTTTCCCTCCAGATACTCTACGAGCTTTCTCCTCATGTGGAGCTGTCCATGTGGCTAGCAACATGGAGCCACCGAGTATCCACCAGAAAGAGACAGTTCTATACATTCATTGCAGGCTTTTTCATACAATACACAACTTCATTTATAATGCAGGATATATAGCTTATCATACATTTATATTTTGCAGATTATGGAGAAAATACAAAAGAAGAGGGAGTCATTAACCAGAAATGAGAAGAGGATGGAGGCCCTGATGAAAATTAAGTGAGGATGTGTCAAATATTAATTTTGTTTAATTATTATCTTTGAGCTAGGATGCTCAGGTGTTTCTTGGAGCAATGGCTTGCAACACCAATGTAAAGAAGCCAGGCAAATGTTGATATTGTCTCTCCACTGTGTCCCAGCCAGGTTACAGTGGGGAGAAGGAAACAATTATGAAATTGTTTCCTTAATTGTACAAAATAAACTAAACACTTAGTGAACACTCTGACTTAACTGCATATGGCACTTACAGTATTCAAAGAGCAATGATCGTAATTATGTGGTAGCACAACAATAACATTGAAATGAACATATGTCATTGAGACAATAAACATACAAGTAATGAATGGCATAATCAAAACTTATCACTGAGGCAAGATTAATAAAGGAGATAATCGTGCATGTCACTGAGAAAGAATTAACTCACAACAAGTAAACACTAAATGTTGGGTGCATGTAAATCAGATATGCATATGACAGCTGTGCAGGGCAGTATCACTCGGGCTGCTGCTCTGACACTGTCCCGTTTTCTTGACCGTTTATATCCCACCTGTAGTGAGTGTTCATAGAGTATAAGAACAAAGGCAACTGCAGAAGGCCTATTGGCCCATACGAGGCAGCTCCTATCTATAACCACCCAATCCCACTCATATACATGTCCAACCCGCACTTGAAACAATCGAGGGACCCCACCTCCACCACGTTACGCGGTAATTGGTTCCACAAATCAACAACTCTGTTACCGAACCAGTATTTACCCAAGTCTTTCCTAAATCTAAATTTATCCAATTTATACCCATTGTTTCGTGTTCTGTCTTGTGTCATACTGTCATACTTTTAATACCCTATTAATATCCCCTTTGTTGTGTCGCTTCATCCTCTTGTAAACCTCTATCATGTCACCCCCTAACTCTTCGCCTTTCCAGTGAATGCAATTTAAGCTTTGTTAGTCGTTCGGCGGACGGCACGAACGGACGTCAACAACACCTGTCGACCCTGCCCTCCCTCCTCTTTTATCCGCTGATCCTTGAGCTCTCGGCTACCAACAAATGATGTAGCATCCCCCGAAGGCAGCTAAGTACACAGTGACCCAAATGTGATTGAAAAAACCAACAAGACCAACCCGTAATTCTCTCATTTCGACCTCACTAGTGTTGCTCCCTGGAGCTAGGAAGCTGTACCCGACGTTCACTGCTGCCTCATCAATGAGTCTTCCCTATTGTTCCTGCCTACATTTATCCTGCTACCATGCAAAGTAAGACCGGTAAGGCCCTTAAGAAAGGAAGCACACCAAACAAGAATAACCCTACTAGCCAGGCTAGCAACATGATTAGTTCAGCTATCTCCCCCTCGGTGACCGCCGTGGGGGGTACCGACTCTCCCCCCCATCAACAATAACAAACAATCTCAGCTGGGCGCAGCGCCGTCTCCGACACGGGCTATGCAACTATTATGTAGCCATATGGACCAACTTAAACGAGCTGCTGCCCCTTGTTCTGACTTCAAGCGCCTTGCTGATAACCCTTGGCTCAAGTTATTAACTCAAGTACATGAAGATCAAATGAAAGTAATTAAAGAGCAGTCGGCCTTAATAATGAACCTGCAAAGTTCATTATTATCTTTGCAGAATGAAGCTGGAGACTTACTCAAGAACAATCAAGAACTATCTACCAAAGTTGTCCACCTCGAACAAGAATTAAACCTTCTCAAGAACACAGTTACTAACTTTAATCCAGATGAAACCACTAAAAAACAGGAAGAAATATTGCAACAGTTTGAGAACCATCTGAACAACCTACAACAACAACACACTGTTACCCAAGACGAGACAGACCAAGATAAACTACTTGAGTCTGTAATTATCTCTTCACGTGATTTTCCCCAAGAAACTGAGGGAGAAGACTGTGCTGACATCGTGATCAAGGTATTGCAGGATAAGTTAAGGTATTCAATCCAAAAAAATTACATCAAAGCAGCTTATAGAGTGGGTACCAAATCATCTGGTACTAATAACAGGAGAATACGTGTAAAACTAGATAGCTGCTCCCGCAAGTCTGATCTTATCTCATCTGCAGTCGCTAGTAAATCCACTGTTTATGTGAATGAATGTCTGACCAGGTTCAGCAAAATCTCTTTTTTAAACTGCGTGGTTTCTGCAAAAATTCTCCTACAATTAAACACTGCTTTGTGCGAGATGGTAAAATTATAGCTAGGAGGACTGACACTGGAAAAACCTATTCAATAACCACTGAAGCTCACCTTAATTCTTTCCTCAGTGACTGTGGGATAACTGCTGTATAGCCTGAATTCAAATTATAATCTCATTTAACTACCTTTGTGTACTTTAGCTCTGCCTTTCCTTTCAAAAGGTTTTAACTTTAGTTAAAAAAAAAAAATAATAATATTGTCATCTTTATTATTGTCTTTTTTCTTTTTACTCCCATGTTCCATAGTACACTGGCTTTGCCTGTGTCCTCTAGTATTAACTTCATTATCCAGTGTTCCTGAGTGTATCTCTATTTAAAATACCTCAGTTTATTTTAGTGTAACTTTAGTATTCAACTATAGTGTACTTATAATAGTATAGTGAGCAAGCTTTTCATTTTATAGATTTCATAATTGCTTTTTGACTTTTTTGGTCATCTATTGTTATTAATTATTCTAGTTCATTTTTTACATTCCTAGTTCCCATTAAGTTTTTTTTTTTACTTAAATTTACCATTAAGTTTATATTACTTTAGAATTTTTATTCTACTTTTTCTTTGTTTTCTATTTTGTAATTTGCTATTCTTGCCTTGTTTTCCTGCAAACAGCCTTTTTATGCAGACAAGTATAGACCCAGAATTAAACCTCTTATCCACTATCTATGACAATCATCACTTCAGTGATCAAAATTGCAGATATTTTACAGCACATGATGTAAACAATGTATTAACAGATAATCACAATATCTCTGTAATCAACTTGAACGTTAGATCCCTAGGTAAACACTTTGATGATGTTAGTGCCTTGATTGAAACTATTGACAACACATTCTCTTTCATTATACTTACTGAAACGTGGTTGAAAGAGGATACTACTCAACTCTTTAACATGCCTAACTACTCGGCAATTCACAACTGTCGTCAAATTCAGAGAGGTGGTGGTACTGCTCTTTACTACCACCAAGAACTAACATGCTTAAAAATAATTTGAACTAGAGACTGCTGTGGGGAGTACATCTTCGCCTCTTTCAGAGTCAAGGGTGCCGAGTCTGTCCTGTCTGTGGGTGCTGTCTATAGAATTCCTAACACTGATGTGTCCGAATTCAATTCAAACCTTAGAAATCTAATACTAGATAACAGACTGAACAAAAACCATCTAATTATCGCAGGGGACTTTAATATTGACCTCTGCGAGCCTGAACACCCTACTGCTGTTAGCTTCCTCAACTGTATGAATTCCTGCTTCCTCATACCCTGAATCACTAGACCAACTAGAATCACTGATAGTACTGCTACGACTCTAGATCACATCTGGACCAACATAACCTCTCCGCTTACTTCAGGTATAATCACCGATAGCACTACAGACCACTACCCCACATTTCTCTTAACAAACATTATCAAACCACCTCTTGAGTCAAGGGAGTTAAGCTTTAGGCTGCACAATGAAACTGCTATAAAGAATTTTCTAACTGCTGCTGATAATGTCAACTGGGAGTCCGAGTTAGGTAACATAGGGGACATCAACCTAGCAGTGCAATCTTTTCTTCAAAAAACTCTTAGCCTTTATAACACCCACTGTCCTATGCTTACAAAACAAGTCACAAACAAAAGGCTTAACAATCCTTGGCTTAGAAAGGGAATACTTAAATCCATTAACAAAAAACACGACCTTGAGAAGAAGTATAGGTTAGGAACCGTCTCCAAAGAATTCTCAAAGAATTACTCGTTATTGCTATCTAAAATAATTAGACGAGCCAAAACTAAATACTATGAAGATAAATTTACCCAAATAAAGAGCAACATTAAAAAAACTTGGAGCACAATTTCACAAATATTGGGATCAAAGAAGATTTTAAATAACAAACTAACACTCCTGTCCAATAACGTTGGTCAGCTTTCAGCCTCTGATTCTGTTATTGAGTTCAATAGGTTCTTCTCTTCCATTGGGTCATCCCTTGCAAATGATATTCCATCTTCCAGTACTGATGTTAAGGACTATCTTATGGGTAACTATCCACAGTCTCTGTAACTAAAGCCTACTAATTCCACTGATGTCAATGAGATAATCCTTTCCCTTAAAACCAAGTCTAGTACCCTCGAGAAGATACCAACTTTAATTTACAAAAAAGCCTCCAGATCTTTAGCCCCTGCTATTGCATTGCTCTTCAACAAGTCACTTGAACTCCAAACCTTTCCAGACATTCTAAAAATAGCAAGAGTAACCCCTGTCCACAAATGTGGTGATCTCACAGATGTTAACAACTACAGACCTCATTCCTGCCTAACTTGTCAAAAATATTTGAAAAACTAATCTACAAGCTTTACTCTTTTTTAGCCAAACACAATATACTTAGCTCTTGTCAATATGGCTTCAGACCCAAAAAAGGCACTAACGATGCACTTATTAGTATGATTAACTTGATTCACGCAGCTCTTGATAAAAAGGAGTTCCCTGTTGGGTTATTTGTGGACCTGCGTAAGGCTTTTGATACTGTCAACCACCAAAACCTTCTTCTTAAATTACATCATTATGGAGTCAGAGGACACTCCCTGCAATACCTCAAATCTTATCTTACTGACAGGCTCCAGTATGTTTCTGTGAATAATACAATTTCTCCCACCCTACCCATCAACATTGGTGTTCCTCAGGGCAGCATACTTTGCCCTCTCCTCTTTCTCATCTACATTAATGACCTTCCAAATGCCTCCCAACACCTCAAACCAATTCTATTTGCTGACGACACAACCTTCATTTACTCCAGTCCTGACCCCATTGCTCTAAATGCCACAGTAAAT